GAAAGGGCCTTTGTTTGAACCTCAGACACTTGCTCTTACTCATAAACATGTATGTGCAGGGCTGCTGTGAGATTTTCACCTTAAACCTTTGCAGTCTGGCTGTCCATACACTCTGACAAAGCATCCTTTTCTGGGGGTGCAGCTTTCCAGCATGTTTTGCCATTAGTGTTAGAGAGAGGGGACGCTGATTGTTCTTTCCCTCTGCTTCTTAGTGAGTGTATTTATGTGTTCTTGCAAAACCATTTTTTGGTAGCTGTCTGTGTTTTTCTACCGTGACAATTTAAAAAAAGAAAAGAGCGGGGAGGGGAGCTGTTACTGATTTCTGTTCTTGCCACTGTTCTGCATTGTCAGAGCAGATAAGTAAGTTGAGATAGCAAATCAGGCAGCTTTTGTAATAGCCTGCTCATATCGTAAGGGTTCTTGGCCCAATGTAGCACATTCTTAATCTTTCTTTACAATGTATGGATGTTGCTCACTTAAATGGATTTCAGCTGAAGTAGAATTCTCTAATTAGACAGTAAGGTTGGAGAAATTGACCGTTATCTCCAGTTATTGAATTTTCTGGCAGCCTGCATCAGCATTCGTGCTTCTACCGGTTGGTCTTTAAACATGGAAATAATGCATCCAGAGATTATTGTTCAAAACTATTTTCAATAGTCTAATAGCTTTTTAATTTTTTTTAAATGGCTTATATTCATCAGCTGCAGCACAGGGTAATCAGATTGACTCAATCAACTCAGTTATTTTGTCCCTCTTAGCTAATTACAGGTTGTATTCAGATATTAAACTAGTAGGGAAGCTGTGAAATTTTGTTGATAATCTCATAAGCAGGAATCCATGCAGCCAGTAAGGATGTGGGATTCTCTGGCAAGTAACAAAAGGGCCTCGTATGCAAAGAATTGCTTTGGCCATTTATCAGTGGTGTGGCTGATTCTTGGTTACTGCTCTCTCGTGTGCTCTGTAGGCAGATCTATGGAGGGCAGATGCTGCCCCGGGTATTCCTGGTGCTTTACCTGTCCTGTGCTTGGGTATCCATGCAGGTATCCATGTGTTTGGGTATCTGTGCAGGTGCTCTAGGGAGAAGATTCAAGATTTGTTCAGAGCTCTCGCTCACCACCATGGAATCCAGTGGTGATCAGGACAAAAGGGTGAGCGTGGGCTGGGCCATCACCCAGCAGCTCCCTCGTGGCAGGACTGTGAGGCTGTGCTGCACAGAAGGGTGAAGCGTGGAACCTTTTCTTTGTCACCCTTTCTAGGTCAGCTTTTAGAGTAAAGCATAGCAAGGACATTGGCAGGCTGGGGCTGTAAAGATCTGTCTGCATCCATGTGCTGAGCACTAGCAGGGGGCTGGCTGTGTATTGCAGGAGTGTTGTGCAGAAAGGGCAGGCTGGATCCTTGGAGCAGCGTGTGGCCAGGGCTCAGCTGCCCAGGTGGGACACCACGGCGGGTCTCTGCCTGAGCTGAGCGGCTGCCTTGTTCCGTGCTGACTCTGGGATCGCTCCAAAGGCCCGAGTTGTGCAACCATAGGCATGTTCCAGGGCTGAGCTCGCTGCATTGCTATGCTTGTGTGAAATTCGGAATTACAAGTATCTTCAAAATATTGACGTGATAGGAGACAGATGTATTCCAATCAGTTAAATTTTCCATGAAATTGATTTTTCATGGAAAAATAACCTATTTCACTGAAGTGCCGTGGATAAAAGTTCATAATTTCAATGCATCTTCTTTCTGAAAGTGATTGACTAGATGTACTTTGTTTTTCATGCAGAAATCCCAGTTGCCTGAAATGAATTTGCATGCGAAAGAAGGTTGGTTCAGTCCACCTTTCCGTGTCTGGTTGCAATTTGCTCTCAGAGTATCTGCAATCGTTTGCTGGGAATGTTCTCAGTCGTGGGAACACGCACGACAGTCTGTGCCAGTTTAAGATTATGAACTGGCGAAAGATTTGAGGACAACAGTTAGGAAATGAAAAAAACAAAAACAAAAACAGTTTTTCCAGCTTCTGAAAGGATGATAAAGCTCTTACCTTACTCTTTGATTTTATTTTTTGTTTGAATAGAAGAAAATCGTGGCTGTCATGTTCCAGGTATGCTTTGGCAGTCGTCTTTACGACGCTGCTGATTGCCCTGATGTTTGTGTGCCTGCGATGAAGCCCAGAGAAAGGGGCACATGCCTTTGTGCCTGGACTCGCAGGGGCCAGTGGGCTTGCTACAGAACAGTCGGTTCTTTGTCTAGTGAGTGCTCAGCCATGTCACTGTGAGCCGGCAGCAACTGAAACCTTGATTCTCTATTGCACACAGCTTTGTTACCTTCTGAATAGCGAACTGGTGTGGCTCCTTTTCCTGTTCAGGACAATAGATAACAGTAACTTACTTGGAAACCCTACATCCTGTTTGCCAGGTGTTTGAAGGGTAAGGTTCTTGTTCCAAACGGCATGTAAACACAAAGCATTCAGCTTTCCTGCAGAATGGGAATGTTGAAATTTCCTTCTGCAAATACATGGATTCTTCTAAATGTATCCAGGCTCGCACCAAATTCCTGGAGCGCTTGGAAACCAGAGGTCCTGGAGTTCAGCTTGCCTGTTTCTAGAAAGCTCCTAAGGAGCTGGAGAATTCAGAGGCAGTGAGGTTACTGTAAATTCAGGGCACGTTGCCTGGCAGCCCACCAGTGTGACCGAGAGCCTTGCAAACTTGACTTGTGAACTTGCAAGTCTGGGGGTTTAGGAGTCAGGGTTTCTGTATCCCTGGGTTTCCATCAGCCTGCTGGGATGATTGCAGAGGAGCTATGAGGAAATGAAGTAATTTTCCGATGGAAAGGTGCCTGGTTTTCATCAGAATTTTAGCCAAATTAATCAACTAAGATGTTTTGATGAACTTGATTTTTTTTTTTTTCTGATGGAAATTGTTCTGTTGGAAAGTTTTTAATGGCCACAAGCACCTGTGCATCTTATTCCAGCTCCAGTGATGGTCGCCGGTTTTTTCAATTTATTTGTTTGAGATTATCTGGGTAATGCAGGTATCATGACTGCCATCTTCAATCACAAGAGGAAAATCTTTTAAAAAAATCTATAATGTAGTTTATGAAATGAACTGTTACTGCAAACCAGAGGAAACATACTGTAAACTGTTTTTATTATGTCTCATATGTAAGTGATTTATTTAGTGTCGACTTTCTGTTAAGCTCATAAATACAAGGAGCTTGCAGAAATCCCCACAAACGCCTGTGTGCAATGGAACTGACACTGAAGGTCTTCTCTGCCTGCCTTAGTGTGAGTCCTGCTTCCCCAGTAGTTTTTATGCATGTTTCCTGTCTGTTAATGCTTGTCCCTCATGTTGTGCTTCTTATAAATGTCCCATATTTTAATTCTTGCTTGGAGTTGTAGCAGCACTAACTCCATGTGCAATTCAAATGATGCCCACCGGTTGTGCTCGTCTTGGGGAGGGAAGGATTACTGGCAGGGATTTGGGGAACAGAGAGAGGTCTATGCTCCAGATACGAACAGTGGCTAACTGCCTTCCAAGGGTTTACCACGTCTATAAAAGTGTACTGGCACAGGAAGAGTAATCGAGGCCCTTGGATCCCTGCCCAGGCAGATACTTTGGTCAAAGCTGCAGGGAGTGGGCTCTGCAGGAATGGAGTCTAAAATGGCTCTGAGTCAGCAGCAGCAGCTGCAGAAAATGTGGCCTGGGGAGAAAATGGAAAGCAAACCATGCAGGTGTGCAGTGTTGAAAGAGTTTTGCCCTGCAAAACTCACTTAATGATTCGACCAAAGCTGCATAAACCAGACAAGATTCCAGCTCTGTCTAGACTCCAGAGAGACTTGACATGCAATAAAATGCAATAAAGTTTTTTTACTGTAAAAATAGAGATGAGCTGCTGAGTATCCACTGTGCTCAGATGTGTCCAGTCAGGAGTGCTTCTACACATCTGCAGGGGAACTTACTCTTCATTGTGGTGTAGACAGCCAGCCCTGCGGAGTCTTAAACCCAAAGCTTTGTGTGTCTGCAGTAAGAACTGAAATTTCCATAAAGCTCTGGAAGCTTTTCATAAAGTTTGGCAAGGCGTTTTAGGAGATTTGATAGCTGTAGCACTTGAAGGAACAGTAAGATGTGAAGTCAAACGTGCCAGAACGGTACTTCGTGAAGCTGGGTTCAGGGGCTGGCTGAATTTCACGTGCAAGGTGTGAGCCAGGTCCTGGTCAGGTCTGTAGTTTGTCGATGACAGGTGCACTGTGTGTGCCCATCATGGAGGGTAACGTGTGGACTCCCACATTAGTCCAGTCACTCATTAATGGAAATGATTTTGGGGTGACAACAGTAGGCTTCGCTGCTGCAGTGGGGGAATTACCCAGTTTGCTTCACTTGCTGGGATTTATAAGACTTGCCTCTAGGAATCCCCGTGACTTGTGCTCTGGTGGCTGGATTTCCTGCTCTCCATCCTGTGGCTCACATAGAACACAGCCATGCCAAGAAGCATCTTTCAGTGGGTTCGATCTGCTCCTGAGAATATCCCTGGGTGGTGAACGAGCTTGTAAGTAGGCCTCCAAGGAATATGCTGCAGCTGCGGTGAGTTATTACATCTTTGTTGATTTGTAACCTGAAATCTATATCCCACTGAGGCTTGCTGTGTAGCCATCATCTCTTTACCTTGGGATTATTGATTGTATTAAAATGTTCACTTTGTACTCTGCACAGCTAGAGAACTGATTAGACTTTTATTCGTGTTGCCACTTGGAAAGGTTATTTATGTGGGCCTACTTCCAACATCTGTGCCAATTTGGAAAGCAGAATGTTTTTATCTTTAATTATTTACTGAAAATCTTTATGCAAAATAAGTTGCGCACTGAGATAAAACAGTGATTCAAGGGGACACCTTGCCCTTTCTATATGCTTTGTTTATTTTGGTGCATTTTCTTCAAATTAAGGAAACATCAAACTAAATAGGCTTCATCTTTGGTTCGTTATGTGAAGGCTTGTGTTCCTACTAACAGATTACATGGTCTAGGTTTGTGGCAGAACATTTTTTAGCCATAATAAATGTTTTAGAGTTTCGTGCAGTCACATACATGTGTGGATATAATTTGGATATAATTTTATGTGTACAAGACACGCTTCCATGCTTATTGCTGGAAATTTTCCTTCTGTGTCTTCAAATCATGGAAACAAATTCTGTTACCACACTGATTGTTGCCCTTTTTGGGTTAGTACCAAAATCCGGGCTTTACTAAATGATACCACCAGGATTTTGGTTGGTTGTTTTGAATTGCAGTTTCAGAACCAGGAACATCCAGTTGGATCTCTTTGCAGAATGCTTTAGCATTAGTACCTGAAGTTTTTCCTCCACACCAACATGCTGCACCAACTAGGACATGCTGGGATTTCCTTTTGACGCTTCCCACAGGGACCATTCCGGCTGCTGCTTCTCACTGCCTGTTCGGATAGGCTCTGGGGGCCACCTCAGGTTAGGAAATGCTCTCTGTAAATAACGGTGTCTTAAAGTTGAGACTTTGCAGCTGTTGGAGAGGTTCCTACAGTGAGCTCTTAATCATTTTCTACTAAGCTAGAGGCCTGATGGAGAAGACGCCAGCCTGCCAGAGCTCTTCCACTGGCAAAGCAGCGGGGTGAGCATTGGGGTGGGACCGAGCCCCTGCTCGTGCAGGTGACACGGCCGCGTGCCTTTGCTGTGGCTCTGCCTGCTTGCTGCAGGGTCAGCTCATGGCACCACTGCTGCAAAGGTGGGGGAACTGCAGCAGTGTGAAATGAAACTGCTTAATTGCAACTCCACAAAGTTTTAACTTGGCTTTTAGCATTTTTTTTTCCACCGTTGCTAAAATAATTCTTGGGGAGAAATAAATAATGTTATTTGTTTTCAATTTCCCAGCTTACACTTGAAACATAAGTAAATGCACATGTATGTTTTTTCTATACAATATAACTTTGAACCAAGTATTAAAAATATTTCATTTATGCAATGACTAGGTGCATTAATTGCTGTTTTCAGAAGCTGGAATAGCTGAAATGGTTATCAGACTCAAGTCCAAATCTACAGGTAACTGTTCATTTAAAAAATGCAGTTGTGGGTTGCTTTTGGTGGCTTTTTTTTTTTTTTTCCCTCTCCAAATAAACCTACCACACCTAATTTTTCCAGGCATAAATGTCATCTCTTGTTTTACATGGGAAGACAAAATTGATTTCAAAATCCTGTTTTCAATTCTGGACACAGAACATTAGAAACGAGGAGTTTGCTCAGGCTTCTCAGGTTTGGAACCATTTAGTCTGTCTCTATCCTTATTGTAGCCAGTGATTTGCTATTGAAAATTCATTTCTTAAATGACTGAAAAAAAATGAGTACAAGATCGTTCTTTCTTTTAGCTTCATAATGGTGGAAAGGCAGGAGATAGGGGTGTGAACTGAGAGCGGATCAAAGTGCAGAGTTTCTGCTTCATTTTCATACTATGCATAACAAAATCCATAAAGTGAGTCTCGGGAGTCAGGCTCAAGGGCCTCTTGATTAAGAATTAAATTACAGGTATGATTTACTAAATTTGTGCTTGGGGAAAGGAGGTTTTTGATGATGATATGATTGGTAAACTACACATTTCCTCAGCTCCATATTAAAATTAATGGGAGTAGCATAACTGTACATGCAAAATACTTCACAGATCTCCGGAAATATTTTGTCTTGTATGCTAAGCCACGTAACTGGAATTCTGCATCTACAACTCCTTTGCTAAAGTAAACCCAAGGGGAGTGTAAAGCTGGCGCCCACTCTTCTTAGAGTGAAATTTCTTCTGTTGTCAAAGATGATGTAGTCAGAGGAGCTTTCAAATCAGCTCCGTTATGCAATTTTGTTCACGTAGTTTTCATATAGTTGTTTTAAAACATGGAAATGTGGAACTATTTGAAAGCATTTCAAGGGTTATGTATTTTTATTAGACTAATAAAAGTTTCTTTTCAATTTCTTTCAAAATTGCTTGAAATTATACTTGCTATATTTTGTTCTTTGTCGCAGAAGTGTTGGCTTAGTGAGATTCTTTGCTATGCTTTGGGTTTCAAGATGGTGTTGCATACAAGCAACGTGAGAAGACAAGGTCTGGAAGGAGAAATAATACATTCATTGCAGAATCACATGGATTCAGAGGTGAGGTTACATGTATGAGATTTCCTGTGCCACAGAGTCTTGGTCCAAGAACTTGTCTGGCATATAGCTTTGGGCCAGCATGGATAGGGCAGCATTGCTGCTTCCATGGTGCAAACTGGTGTGGGACATGACAAAACACCAGTGTCATCATGTACCATGGCAAATCAGCAGTGTTTGACCAGCACACAGTGCAAAGTCTGCACGTTTCCATTACTGTTTGCTGTCTCAAGACAGGCAAGTTGGAGCAGTGTTTTTTACAACCCCAAATGATCGGATACTTCCCTTCCACGGATGCAGAAAGGAATTCAGTGTGTGTAAATGGAAAAAGATGGGAATAGTCAGGACCAAGTTGTCCAGCACTTATCATACCATCAATTCCTCTTCCCTGGGAGGAACATTTTGCTTGCAGCCCCGGGGGTACTGTAGCTGCCAGGACTTGAGACAGCGGGTAACAGTCACACCCACTCTACACATCCGTTATATTTTGGTGGGATTAGTAATCTACCTGTTCCTCTAAAACCTTTATTTGTAGTCATTGCAACTTTTGACCAAGAGCAGCAGAGCTCTGAAGGTCCTTTTTTTCTAGCAGAGGAAGTGCTTGATTTACTGCTACCTTATGCCTGGGCTCCCTCACCTGCAGATGAAAGATTCATTAAGGAGAGAGCTCTCAGTCCGTGCAGGAGCAGAGAAACATGAAAGGCTGCTTTCTTCTAATGTGCAGCAAAGCACATAATTAAAATAAACAAAATAACATTAACCATAAGGTCTTGCTGGTGTCGTTTTCAAAGCCATGAAGGGATCTTGGAGTCTCTAAGATCTAATCTGTTTGGATTTCAGTAAGGCATTAGCTACAGGGCCACATGGGAAATTATTAGTGAAGCTGGAAGTTGGTACAAGGATCCAGCTGAAAAACAACCCCTTTTTGTGATGTTTAGGGAGCAAGTGGGCTGGGGCAGAGCAGGCTGGAATGCCCACAGAAATGAAGGGTGACCAGCTTTAATGACAACAGGAGTCGGTCTGAAGTCACTTGTGTTACTGACAATATCACGTGGGGACCTCCATCAAACTGGGCAAAGGACGAGACTGTCATAGTGGAAGTGGAGGGTAGTCCCAGGGACTGAAATCAGAGATTGTGAAACATATTAGTGTAAAATTCAAGTGAGTAATTAGAGGTTAGTAATAAAAAATTCACTTTTAAGGTGGAGCTTTGTAATTTGGGACTAACTGTTGAGGAAACGCAGAACAACAGTGCATACATCCAGCAAGTCGCTGGTAGCACAACCACGGTGTTTATACTGCTGCTGTGTCAGGCACAGGCGAGCCTGTGTCTGGAATATGGGGATAAATCTGGTCCCCTGTGTTTAGGAGGAATGAAATAATGCAGGAACAGCTGCAGAGGATGCTACCAGGGGGATCAGGGAGCTCAACTTGTGAGATGAAGCTGGGAGACTGGGCTTCTTCCACCTGGCAGAATGAGGCCTGTGGAGCAGGATATGGTCCGTGTCTGCAAATGTGTCAGCAGGAAAGGCTACAGAATGGGGGAAATCTCCTAAAGAACATACACAACAATGGTGCAAGATTAAAGGCACATAAATTGGTAAAAATAGATGTAGACTTGTTCTAGGAGGTTTTTAGCACTTAGGGAGGTTCAGAGTAGAATTGTTGGAGCAGTTTGCTGGTAGGTGTGCCACTGGCATGTAGGTACATGCATTTAGCATCACGGGTGTTGTGTAGGAAGCTGTAAGGCACAGTTGCCTGCCTGAACGGTTGTCAGACCTTTGTGGCCCAGGAGAAGACTTCTTCTTTCTGTGCTCTGAAATTGATACCTGTCTGGCTTCGCAGAGACTTCCAGGAATCAGTGCATCTATGTGTGCAATGGAGGGGTGATTTTTTTCAGGTGTAAATATTTAAATTCCAGGGCTCGAAGTTAGGTACAAGTATGTTGCTACAGGTACCTGTAATATTTCACTTTTAAGCCACTGCTGTAATGAAATTTCTTCTCAATTCTGCTCCACAGCATTTGGTGTATACTGAGACACAACAGCTAAGGGAACAAGTAAGTAAAAGCACTAATTAAGACTCAGAGTGCTTTCAATAAACTTGTGTTGCAATGAACAAATTAACTGACAAGGGAAAAAGACAATTTTGCCCTCAAGGGAATGTGCTGACATAAAGATAACTCTAAGTAGTTCGGAAGTCTTTTGATTTGAAGGAAGCTATGAAATTGGAGTCTGGTTCAGTAGTGTTAGCTACTTAGGATTCCGAAGGAATAGCACAAAAATGCCATCACATTAGAAGACAAAAAAAATTCCAACTACAAAAAATGCATGTAGGAAAACCAGCAAGAAGCTTAAGGAGGTAATTGTGCTTGCTGCTGCCTGGTTAGGTGCGGTGCATGAGGACAGTGGGGTTTGCAGTTGGTGTGCAGGGAGCACGCCTTTGGCACTGCACGTGTCAGAATACAGTGAGGAGAAACCTCAGTTATACTCAGTTTTACTACTTGCTTTAAAATACAAAACCTTTTTTTTATTATTATTATTTTTTATTTTTTTTTCCCTGAAGGTGCAATCCTGAAGAAAGAGTATTCTGAGTACTGAAGAAGAGTATCCCGCTATTCTCTGAAGCCACTGTCTGGTACAGGAAATGGTAAACTTCGGGACAGACCCAGTAGCTTGAGCCATGCACACAGCAATAGCAGAAGCAAAAGGTATTCAAGAATTGTTTCTTTTTTCTAGTGTTTCTGGGTTTATATTGCTTGTCTTTTTTGAATGATGCATATTGTGTTGTCGGAGAGCACATACTTCAGTTGTGATTTTTGACCAATTTAGTACAGAAACATTTGTGAGACCTTTAAAGTTCTGGTCGATTGGGGATTTTTCCCCCACTCTGGGTCACACTGGTTATAAAGATTTTGTTGTATGAGTATCTGGGTGTTAACAGTGTTGACGTGTCCTCTCCATAAACACCGCAACTATGAAATGAATTTCAAAAGTGTTAACTCTCAGGGATGAAAACGGTGGGTAGGAAGATGGGGTCAGTAGCTTTGGAAGCACGAGGTGCAGCCTTGTGCTTGTTTTGGTTGCTGGTTCATGTAACCCCTGTAATCCCTTTTTCATTTGAGAAGTCCTAGAGCGGAAGCAGGTAGGTTCAGATCTGTGGGTTCTTGGTTTTCATTTTCATTGTTTACAATTGTTTTACACTTGTTTGGCTCAGCTGCCTGGTGTTTGTGAAACACTTTCCCCATCTCCTCAGGCTAGGCCAGGTGTGAGGAGTGGTGGTGTGGGGAGCTGCCCGCTCACACAGCCGAGGTGCTGCCTCTTTGCTGGGCAGAGAGGAGCCTTCACTTGCAGCGCCTGTTCAGCTTCTGCCATGAACATAAATCCAGTCCTCACACAAGAAAAGGAGGAAGGGGGAAAAGAAAGAAGAGGAAGAAAAAAACCCAAGCAGCTCACATAGTTTCTGTACCACTTTCTGGTTTTCTTTTTTTCCCAAAGCCCGTAACTTGAGGTCATTTTGGGATTAATTGAAGCTAATATCTTTACTTCAAAGCAGCCCAAGATCAAGCCAAATGTACACACACAGCAATTAAAGATTTGGCAAGGTAATATGGATTGGCGTCTACACAGCAGCAGCTTTCTCCCTGCGCTGTTCTACTTATTCAGGCCTTTGATACGGCTTCAGAGCACAACTAGCTAAGCCTGTGCGTTAAACAAAGGAACATTTGAGCACTATATTCTGCAGAGATTGACCGCTCTGCTATAGCTAATATTTTTAACTGTCTGTAAAATTGGAAAGATTATGAATCTGTAGTCTGACTGGCTACTGGAGAATTCTGTGGATAATGATGAAAATTGCAGGGGGCAAATTGAAAGATTTCTCTTTCATATTGTGTAGTATCATTATTCCTTTAGTGCTAACAAAGATGAGGCCAATTTAGAATAAATCATCAAAGCAACATGTGTGAATTTATCTGTCCAGTGCTCATTACAGTTAATGGGAATCATGTGGCTGGAACTTTGCAAGTGCTTTGAAAATGCTCCTTTTATGGTTACATTATAGACCCCCACGTCAGCCGTTCTGCTGTTGTTTTTATATTGCTCCATTTGTTTTCTTGACATTAAAAAAGCCAAAAGAGTAAATTAATTAAAAACTGCATCACCCCCTCTGGTGTTAAATAGAGTAAAATACTCATTTTCTAAAGTAAATAAAATATACTTAAATCAACTTGTGACACGACATGAACCGCTCCCACTTTCAATCCCTGGAGTATTAGGCATGCTGCTTGTTGGGCATTAATTACGGGGAACCTAGCTGGGAAGTCAAAATGTTGATTCAGATAGGCACGTGTGAATTTTGGTCCCACCATCGTGCTAATCACTGTGTGTGGTATGTGATTAATCCTGGTTCTTAATCTCTAGGAAATATTTGGGTAAGATGCTGGGGGGAAGAGAAAAGACATAATGACAACAGGAGCTTGTAAGTAAGACAGGTAATGAGCGTGGAAGTGCACCTACACACACAAAAGAGTAAAATGTTTGAAGTTTGATCTTAATGCTCTGACAGTTGTCTGTTAAAATATATGAATAGCTATAGGCCTTATTACAGAAAGAAGTAAGTTTTTCCCCACTATAAATTTGGTAAGTAGAGAAAATGTCATGAAATCATTGGAAACATGAGAATAATGAAAGGTTTTCAGTTTGGCACAAGGTGAAATGCCTTGGGTTTCTGGTGAGGAAGATGCTGTGGTTCAGGAGTACGTTACTGAGGTGGTCGGTGGTCCCCTGCCTGGGACACGGGCTGTGTGCTGGGCAGTGCCTCCTTTACCTCCCACAGCCTCATTTGCTGGGGGCAATGAGCAAAATACCCTACAAATCCCTCTCCTTGGACACAATGCTTTTCTGAGTTCCTTTTGGTGGCACTCTGTATTGGGTGTTGTGTTTCAGCTTCCTTTGGATTGGAGACGCAAGTTCAGGGTTGTCCTCCTTCCCTTTCCTACTTCCTTCCCTCCTTCCCTCCCTTCCCTTCTTCCTTCCAAGCCAGGTTTAATCCACAAGGGTTGTGTAGGAGCCCGGGTATTATTTTTGAAAAGTTTTAATCCTGAGGTTGTTTACTGTGAACAATACTGCAAATTATAACGTTCTTTTCCTTAGCTTGTTATTGAACTTCCAAGCACAAATGGTTTGAGAAAACCACCAGATATTGTTAAGATTGGCAAACGGAGAGGTTCCTGCCCCATGGTCTCCAGAAAAAGGCAGTGCTCAGTCGTCTTTGCTGCAGGCCTGGCAAGAGACAAAGTCCAGTGTCAGCTGGTGGCCTCAGGCCATCCCAGCTCAGTTGGTGATGACTTCTGCAGGCAGGCTGTGCTATCCGTGTTACTCTCAACGACGAGGCACAATTTTTACCTTTGCTTTGTTTTCCCTCAATCTGAAGCAAGCTTGCAGGCCCTGATTTAACAGTGAGCCATGCAAGAGATCTACAGTGGGAGAATGTTTTCCCATCTGTACAAAGACCTAGAGAAGTCCTGCAGGCACTAATAAACCATGGCTGCAGAAGGATCCGTGCTAGCGAGGTCCTCCAGGGAGACAGGCAGGGAGCAGAGCTGAGTTCCCCAGCCTGACTCTTTTATTTTCCTTTTCGTTCTTCAAGTTCTTTACAAGGAACCAGCTTTTGACCAGTGAGAGAGGGGAAACATCCCCATGGTATAAGGAAGATTCTCAAGATTTTTCAACAGAAGATAAAGGAAAAAAGAGATGGTGGGAAGCTGCGTCACACTGGGGAGGCTGGTATGTAGATGTGGTTGTTTGCTGAGAGCTTGTACCTTTGAGTTGTTGATTAAATTACTGCTGCAGTAGCAGAAAGCTTTTGGGGGTTTGAGTATGGTAAGAGGGTTGTTGTTCAAAGCTGTCACCCTGGAGGGAAGGAAAACATTCAGAGGCACTGAATGCAGGCACTGTTGAGCAGGTACGCGCTGCTAGAACAATGGCTGGCACCGAGCTTTGCCGCAGGAAACCAGCTTTGGTGTCTCAGCTTTCCACTTGCAGTTGCTATTGCCAGAGGGAGGGAGATGAGAGAAATGGGCTATAACAGCAGAAAATCTGATTTATTAAAAAAAATATAATCCTGGGGAATTGCCAGTATTAAATGTACTTAGCACTTTTGCTTGGAGGTAAGAATGTGACGTGTAAGAGAGAAGTAGGGACATTCTGGGGAGAAGGCAAAATAAATACAAATGTTGCAGTTGCCAGCTTCTCTGTTTTGCATGCAATTACAAAATGTAGTAGCAGCCCATATGTATTGTAGATGATTGTGTATTATGATTAAACACTGAGGTCTCGACTGGCAAGAACAAGTTGCCTTAGCAAAATATTTTGTGCAGCCTACACAGTAGTAAGCATCTTACTGGGAGGAGAGAGAAACAAATCCCTTTGGAAAGAGCCGTTGGAGCTCTTTTCATTTGGAAAAAGTACAAGAAAATGTTGTCCAGGCTGTCAGACATGTCAAGGGTTTTGCTGCCAGTGTGCTGGTCTGATCCAAAGCCTGTGAAAAGCCTTCACAAAGCCTGATACTTGCAGTGGGTTTTAGATTGCTGTGATGAGTAATCTGATTAGAGAGGAAGCCTCTGAGTACATGGAAAAATCCTGTGGCCAAAGGAAGTGACGGGTCTGAAGGACAAGAGTGCACCTCGACAGGGATCTTGTAAAGGTCAGCAGAAGTCTTTGTGCGAAGAGCAGATCTGAATGATAATGTGCTAGTATTGATAATTTCAGGTGAAACGAGTACTAAAACATGCAGTGGGTCCATTTTTCTAACATTAATGCTGGAAGTAGTGTCTCTTTAACTTAGATTGAATTATTCTTGGACACAGCCAGGATTATAAATGGTTTTCAGGTCCCGGTCTGCAGTCTGCGTGCAGTTAATCACAAGATAAATGATGTTCATGAGCAGTATACAAAGACAATGGCTTAAGTTAACATTGCATGACTTAGCAACATCCCATCTGTAGGGGAGGACGAGTTCAAAGTAATGTTCCTGCTCCTGCCAAAGACAAGAGGCGTTTCTGCACTCTGATCAGTAGGAGTAGGCTGGGGTCCTGCTCGTGAATCACCGCAAAACCAGAAGTGATGATTCAGCTTTGGTGTGGGACCATGCCTGAGACACAGAAGGACTATGGGGTGGGGCTAACACAGCTTCAAGGGAAGAAAAAGAAGGCCAGAGAGTATTTATATGTTCCCATTTTAACCTCTACTTTGGAGGTAACTAGCAGGCTGTTTTTAAATGAAACAGATTACTAATTGCTACATTTTTCTTCTTCAGATGCAATTTCCATGCATACAGCTTAATGCAAAATACTCTTGGTGGAAATAAATGGTACACTTGAACTGTGAAGCAAACTCTGTATGGTAGAATATTAAGCATATCTTTGTTCAAAATTCATGTTGGGACTCTAATACTTTAAGTAAAATTGTGATTGTAGGTGGTGAATGTTACGTAACAGATTTGTAAAGGGCGTGTAGCCAGGACCATGTGAAAGCAAGACATCCCCACACCGCGGATCTGTGTGCCAAAGGGAGCGATGTGGAAGGAGAGTTGATGTGTGACACCTTATGCCCTGCCTGAAAAATGCAGCTGAACTGATCATTTACAAATTTCATGTGCCAGAGGTCTTCACATCTTTCTCAAAGTGAGGGAAATGGCTAAAAAAAACCTCCTTTGACCCCTTGTAGTCTTTGTGTATTGGGCTGTGCTGAGCTTTCAAGCGTGGCTTTGCTTAGCAGTTGCCAGCAGGACGTGCAGCTCGTGTGCTCGGTGAGGCTGAGCCCAGCCCGAACAGACATCGAGGAGCTGCTGGGGCCTGACAGAATCCATGTCCTCACTCCGATTCATGGCCTGTGTACATCATCGAACTCAAAAAAGTTTTAGGATCGTTCAGCTCAGCTCTAAAGGTGAGGTAAGAGCTTTATACCACCAGACACAGTGCCTTCCATTTCTTTAGATTTCTTTATTTTAGGTGCATTTTTGGGGGGAACCCCCTCTTTCATAGCACACTTTAAAAAATATCTTGGTATTGAAATTGTTTGTCATAAGAGTTGTTGGTGAAAATTATGTTGTGACTTTGTCTTCAAGCAAGCTAAACAAAAGACATCAAGGTTGAAAAGCATTGCTATGGTTACCTTATTTAAAGGCAATTGTTAATAAAGGAAGGAAAATGGGAACTGAGAAAGACAGTAATTGCAAAGGCATAGGAAAGGTTAGACTGATGTTTTTCATCAAAACTGGATGTGAACTTCATGTTATGTTTATTAAATATCCATTTTAAGGATGCCATCTTAACTCAAAAGATAGAGATAGCAGAAATCAAACTTAAAAGTTTAGGATTTTAAAAAAAGGACAGCATTCATGTTTTGAATTCCTGGACTAATGGCTCTGGATGGAGTCCAGCTAAGCTTTAGAGTGGGTGGTTTTCTCCCTTCTTTAGTATTTTGAGGAGAGATAATTGGTTTTAAAATGGTTGCAGTGTGCCTTTTAAATCACATATGTTCCGATTTTGCTTTCCTGTTCTTTATCACGGTGCATTACATATCCGCACGGGACCAGAACCTTAGAAACAAGGAATTTGAGCCCAAGCTGCTAGCGTGATTTAAAAGCCAACCTTAAATATTTTAATTGAAGTCAGCTAACATGTAGCTTCCAATCCCAGGGTTGGCTTTTCTTAAAAAAATCATAAATATGCCCGGAGTCTCTGAAATCAAAAGAACAACATGTTCTGGTAGCATGGCTCGTGGTGACAGCAACTGTCTCACTCTTTGCCTGCACAAAGACCCCTATTCAAATCTGCATAAAATATTTTCTAATTACTTCCTTTCTGGGGTAATATTTGTGAGTTCAGAGGATTAGACCAAAGCTGACTGATGGCCTCCATTTATGCAGAAAGGGCTTGTTTACTTTGAAATTATCGGTTAACTGAATATTGGCTTTCATATTAGCCTACTTTATCATTTAAAAGAGATGTTTTTAAATTAAAATAAAAAGATATTACATACCTAAAGTTAGAGAAACGTGTTCTTTAAAAATTAAGTTAAATTAGAAATGACATTTCCTCTTCTAATATTGATGTTGTAGCTGAGAGTTAAGCTATAAAAGGAGTCAATTACATTATCTGCAGCTTTGCTGCAAAATCCAAATTTAAACTGCACAGTAAAGCATCACATTAATGCTGGCAGTTTCAGACCACTCATTTCTAGAAGTAAACCAGGGCAAAACCATTAATCTAAACTCACACCTGTCTGGCAGGTTCCTGTGAGGTCAGGATTTAGATATGGACACGTCACAGTTCGGTTTGGTGGCAGGTTTCTGACACCAGCAGGCTCTGAGGGGCTGTTAGGGAAGCACTGTGTTGACTGGTACTAAAAATAAACACATCCAACCTTTGCTGCACGGTTTGTCCAGTGAATCCCAAACGCTTGCAGTAGTGCTGCTGTCTCATCTCTGTGAGCTGACCAACGCTGGGTTTCCTGGAGCCTTTAGATTTTGTCATCCCACTTTGCAAAGAGAAACCGGGGAGCGCTTTTTCTGGTTTTAGACTACTCCAGTGAATGAAGATCGATGAATGCCAAATCTTTCACTAGTATATTACAAAATATTGTATTAGAAGATCTGGATTGGATTTTAAGCTTTTGGATGTAGATCTTTGCGATTTCAAAAAGCTAGCCCTGAACTTCAGGGAGGTGGAACAGAGGAAATAGCAGGGCTGCTCCAGCTCATGTCGAATTGCCCAGGTTGGCTTTGGCAGCCCTTTGGGGGCAGAGCTGCCCCTCGAGGGCTGTAACTGTAGCAGGATACCTGACTTGAGAGCACAAATCTTCCTGATGTTGATGAGGACCTAAGTTCCCAATGAGTCTTAAGGCTTCTGAGATCCTGTGCTTTGCAGATGCCTACAGCAGAGATGCTTTTGTAGACGGGGTCTATAGAGCAGAGCATCATCTTGGTGGTTTCTGCATTTGCAAATGGTGGTGGAAGCTCTTCTGGCTGAGTACAGGGATGTACGGAGCAGGCCTGTGAGGCTGTTAGTATTAGTCCTTGTGATCCTGGGGGCCAGAAGGACCCCAAAGATCAAACCATAGATGAGCAAAATTTTTTACCTGATTTCTCCCCAGAAGTTGCTGTTAGACTTGGTTGTAAAGTTCATCAGTAATCGTAACTCTTGGACTTCACTCTGTTACTCTTTTATAGCTTCAGCTTTACCACTGGATCATTTACTGAAGATATTAAAACTAGTGTACTGAAGATTGCCCTGCTTGGAAATGGTTAAAAACTGCAGGGAAGGACGTTCTCATTTATGAGTGTGTATTACATACCTCTTGTGTACTCTGCACTTGGGCTTTGGCCATATTTTCTAAGCAGTCCCTGTGTCTCTGCTTATCTCTGCAGCAGCCAAGAGCCACCTATCTAACCTCACGCTGTGCAGACTTGGAGAAGGAATTTAGAAGGTTCCCTTCCTAAAGAATTTAAACTCTGAAAAACGGTGATGAAATAGAAAAAGTCATGCTAACCTCGAGGTCCACTAGAAGCAAAAGGCTAGATACTTGTATCCATCTTCTGTGCTGTAGTTGGGACCTGTTGATGCTTGGTTTTAGTGTGCTGCTTAACTACTGGAGTGAGGAATGCTTCAAAGGTCAGAGGAAATGGGGAGCGAGTGCTGGTTCAGTAGGGGTTGTCAGGAATATCACATTAAACTCTTAAAAAACCAAAACCAACAGCTGCTTATTGCTGTAGTGCCAACGGT